TGTAGTAAGAGCTCGCTATAGTCTGCTTTGGACTTAAACATCTTGAGTAATTTGTATCATATGAAAACTTTCCCACCCCGTTTATCCCCTTTTCGATAGAATTTATGAATATGTACAACAGCACTGCCCCCAGAACAAATACTGCTCACCTCTGATGAAAACTGGCCATTCATTCCTATCCTTTGTTTCTTTTCACCAAATACTGATCCATGAAAGGACCTTTCCTCTTACCCCATGATAACTTGTTTTGCTTACAGGAGATCTTGCCAAATAGTGTATTTGAACTTTCAGAAAATATGTCCACATGCTTGCTGACATCTTCCAAGAATACTAATAGATTTGGAGAGTCATGATTTCTCTGTATGAGAGTTGTGTTGACTCTCTTCTCCTCCTCTCCGATATATTGAGTTTATCTATGTGACCAACTATTCTATTCTTTATTATAGCTTCAACCAAATTTGTCTGGTACTAAAGTTCGGTTCACCAGCCTATGATTATTAAGATCACCTCTGAACTCTTTTTTAAAAAAAATCAGCATATTAGCTATTCTCCAGACAGCTACATATGTACGGAGGCTAATTTATGTGATAGTTTACACATACCAGTTAGCACTTGTACAATTTCAGATTGGAGTTGCTTCAGCACTTTGGGTGAATACCATTTGAGGTCTGGTGACTTATTATTCTTTAGATCAGTTTGTTCTAAACTTTCTCTACTGATGCCTCAATCTGAGGCATTTCCTCAGATTTGCCATCTAAAAAATAGCTCGAGTGTGGAGATCTTCCCCACATTCTCTACGGTCAAGAATCATGCCAAGACGTCAGTCAGCTTCTCTGCAATGGCATCTTTAGAATGCTACTTTAGCACCAGATTGGTCAGCTGTTTGATAGATGATTTGGCAGGCTTCCTGCTTCTAAGGGGAGGACTAAAATACAGAGACAAATCAATCTAAGGTGAACAATTAGTTATGTTAGTAGTGCAATTCAAATTGATGTATCTTAGATTTATTTACTGCAGGGTCCACACTGCGGAGGACTGACAGAAAAAACTCTCTAGTCAACTCCCCTTACTCATCTCGATCTGCTGAAGTACTAGAGTCAACAGGAGAGTTATCAAGTCAATTTAATGGGTCTTTACTATACATGCTAAATCAACCACCAGTGGTTCAATTGCTGCATCAATCCACCCTGTGGAGACAAGCCCTGAGGTACGTAAAAATGCTGCTAGTTTTGTGCCCTTAGCTAGTTGCTCTTATAATTTTTTCTTGGTCTAACCATATTATACCATTACACCTGACAGCTATGAGTCATTTTGGGGTTTGGTTTCTTTTTAATTGGAGTATACATTTTGAGTCTCTGACTCTTTTTTTAAATGGATCCATTTCACTACTAAAAATATTCATTTTAATTTCCATTCAGCTAGCCTTATTTTTGTGCAGTTCCCCTTTTGTACTGCTGGTTTTTTTTGGCAATTTTACCTTTCAAATGATGTTAAATTGAGTTACATTATGATCATCACTATTACCAAGTCATTTGGCTACATTCACGTCTTGAAGATCCTATGCTCACCTAACAAATAAACCAAAAATTGGTAAAAATTAAGAAATTAATAAAGAATATTGTGACTGAACATCAGCTAGAAAACTTACCCACTGAACAGAAACATGAAGCTCAAGAAAAAAAAGGAAGAGTACTGAAGACAAAATTCAAGTACTTATCTGTAACAGGAATTTAGATTCCCATGCGTATTCCCTTCTGAAGAAAAAGGTCAGCCAGAGAGCTTCGCCTGCAAATATAGCTACCCCCACTCACTGGAGGTGGTTTAATTATATCGACCAGAGAGCTCTTCCCCCATCAGCAGAAAGCGGCTACACAAGAGAGCTGACAGAAATGAAGCTGCATCAATACAGCTGTGCAACTGTAAGGTGTATAGTGTAAGGCCATGGCCAAAGGTTCTATTTCCAGCTTTCCAGGAGGCTTGGTTCGTGATCCCAGTCACATTTTCTCTATTTTCCAATCTTAAGAGAGACACATTCTTTGATTAAAAGCACTACACAAACATTGACAAGAGTCAGATAATATTATGAATGGAACATATAAAGCTAAACAGTTAATTAAGACATGCTGTTAATAATGCTTTCTCTGCTCACTCCAAATTAGGGATGTTAAGAAGCAGGTATTTAACTAATTGTGTAATTGAGAGAATTTTTAATCAACCACACGGTTAGTTGATGGGGAAGGCGCTCAGTCCCAGCTCGTGCCGGGTCCAGGAGCTACCCCAGTTGTGGCTCTGCATTTTAAATGTAGTAAGAGCTAGGCTGCCTACTCACCTCTTACTACATCTAAAACGCAGAGCCACAGCGGGAGTAGCTCCCATACCCGGCACAAGCTGACAGGGAGCCAGGCTTGCTCAGTCCTGGCTCACGCCAGGGCCCAGCAGGGAACTGGGACCCACCATGGACAAAGGCTGCTCCTAGAGCAGCTTCTGCCCGCGGCCAGCCCAGGCCACCACAGACAGCAGCTGCTCCACAGTAGCAGCCTCTGTGTGCAGGGGGGTTCCAGCTGAGCCTGGGCCAGCAGCAGCCTCCTCTGGAGCCCCTCCTGCGCCAACTGTGCTGGAGGGAACTGGCTTTTAAACCAGCTCCTGCTCCCCCCACATACAGAGGCCGGGGGGAGGGAAGGGGGGAAGCCTCGGAAATACCAGTAATCAATTCCACTACCCAATATATATCTGGACTCGAAATGACAAGGATCTCATTCCCACCTTTTAAACAGATCTCAAGCCTTGGCTTCACTAAGAAAAATATCCCTTGCTGATAACTAGCGTGAGTAACTGATGCAACTGAGCAAGTGGTGTATGTAATTTAGTTGCATGCACAGACAATGGCAAACTGCTTTCAGTATTACAACCAAGGAGAACAGGTTTAAACCAATACTTGATGCAATTTATCCCTACCTATACTTGTAATTAAGCTATATGGTCAGTGCACCCATTCCTGACCTACCACCAAATGGGTGGTTTCCCACCTTAGACCAAGACACAGACATGACCAATGCAAAATGAAAGCAACTTCCTTGCTAGTTCTACCATTTCATCTGCCATGGGAAGAACCATTAAGGTACTGTGAAGACTGTCTGACCAATACTCTTTAACATTAGATCTACACCACTGTGACCAACTCCAACAGCAGTCACAGCTTGTATGGCTTCCCCTTCTAGCAAACAGGACCACAAATGACAGCATCAAGCAAGGGGCTTGACACGTGCTCTATGCATAGAGCTTTCAGTGAAAGAAAAGTTAAAGCAAAGCACAAGATACAACCAAGATTAGACCGGCTACAGCACTGACAAATACTGAAAGCAGACAGGGATGTGACTCCATCACTGCCCAATAGGCGAAATCAGCGACTTTAAAACTTTACTGTCAGATAATTAGCCTAAACTCTGAGGTTAAGGCTCCCTCCCCGGGGCTAATCCACTTCGCAAGTCTCCTGTCAGGCTGGGGAGGACGAGACCGCACTGAGTTTTGCATACAGTGCCCACACGGATCCGGGACCCAGCTCCACTCCAGCCCGTCGCCATGCACGCTGGACAACGCGACCCTGAGGCTCAGCCCGTGGATATGGATGGCAGCGCGCTCGGGGCGTTGTCCTTTTCGAGGCGTTTAAGCGAGGCACGCTAGATAGAGCCTAAGGGATGAGCCTTTCCACGCCACCACCCGCACCCAACGCTGGCCGGAAACGAGGAACACACCCAGGTCCCCACTGTCCCGCTCAAGGATACACTTTCGTGGGGAGAGCTCCCTCCAGCCCTGGCTGCAGCTGAATCCGGCTCCTCCCCCGCCCCCGGGCGGCCTTCCAGGGGGGTTGCTTCCCCGGTCTCCCCCACCCCGGCTCCTGCCCCAGCGACCCCCGCCGCGGTAGGGTCTGCCTCGGAAGCGGAACCGATCCAGCGCGTTGTGGCTGCGCTCCCAAAACGAGAGCCTGGGGCCGGAGTCGGAGTGGGAGCCCGGAGGCATCCGCGACGAGGGCAGCGGCGGCGGGTGAGAGCGGAACGACTCCTTGGGCCGGTAACCGCCGTGGCCGTGCAGGTGACCGAGCTCCGGGGGCGGCTGGTGCCGCGAGCGGGGGAAGCGGCGCGAGCAGGAGGAGGAGGAGAGGGAGGCGCCGCCGCGGAGGCCGGGAGGCGGCCTGCGCCTCGAGTAGGGCCTGGTGCTGATGAGGCCGCCGGCGGGCTCGGAGCTGTTATTGTCGTCGTCGCTGATCTCGCCGTCTTCCAGCTCCCCCTCCTCCTTCGGGGACAGGCCGCTAGGCTCCAGCGGAGCCGCCTCCGCAGCGGCTGCAACCGCCGCCATGGCCCCGCTCCAGGCGCTCGGCAGGGGCAGGGAGCGGCACAGTCCGTTTCGATTCCGGAGCAGCCCAGCCCCAAACTTCCCCACCACGTCGGTCTTCAGGATCCCCCCTCCGCGCCCTAGCGCTCCCCCCGCGTCCAACTCTACTCTCGCGAGAACTAATAGTTTCCCCTCTCCCAGCCCCCTCGAGAAAGGGGGGGAAGAGAGCCGTGGTAGATTGTGTAATAAAGAGGGGTGGCGCGCTGCATCGTGGGAGTTGTAGTTCTGACTAACAGCCTACGGCCGTTACAAAATGTACAGGAAAGAGCCGGGGCCGCAGCGACAAGAGCCCAAGTGTCCTCTACTACTCTCGCGAGAACTAATAGTTTCCCCTCTCCCAGCCCCCTCGAGAAAGGGGGGGAAGAGAGCCGTGGTAGATTGTGTAATAAAGAGGGGTGGCGCGCTGCATCGTGGGAGTTGTAGTTCTGACTAACAGCCTACGGCCGTTACAAAATGTACAGGAAAGAGCCGGGGCCGCAGCGACAAGAGCCCAAGTGTCCTCTATGGGGCGGGTATGGATAACGGTCTCCAAGGGTGGCGGCGTTTCCCGCCATGTTGGTGAAGGAGCTGCATGGACCAGCTGGGACGTGGGTGAAGGGGCGCCACCCCCCCCCCCCGGCGAGCCGCTTGCGAAGGGAGATGCCGACCAGCTGCGCGGCGGCGGGGTGCGCGGCTGTCTACAACAAGAGCGTCAACGTCAGCTTCCACCGGTACCGCCCGCGCGGGGGGAGCGGGGGTTTGAGGCCTGGCTCTCCGGGCGGTTCTCTGCTCCCGTGACTGCGGGAGCCTCCGGTTTTCTTAGACAGCAGCCCTGAGAGCGGCTGCCGCGGGCGGGGAGACCTGGCTACGCGGCCCGAGTCTGTGCGCGTCGCTCCATGAACTCCGCACACAGGCGCCCGTGTAGACACGATTTCATTCTCCGCCTCTTCTCCCCCCGCCCGGCTGTGGCTCGAGTCCGCTCTGCGCTTTGGAGAGCGCGGTCATGGGGAAGCGAATTGCCGTGTCTAGTGTTCTAGCTGTACAGCGCCTGACCCAGGAGCCCTTCAGCTTTGCCGGGTTGTTTCCTTCCTGCTGCTTTCTTGTACTTTGACATGCAGCTCAGGGCTATCGTAAGAATGGAAGTGGAGCCTTCCCTTCTGAGAGGAGAGGGAATTGTGAGTCAGGCTTGTCTAAAGCTGCCCTCTTTCTTTTGACATCCTCTGCTACGTGCTAATGCCCGATTCACAGCTAGGGGAGAGAATGGCTTTGTTAGAGAAGCCATCCGCCTCTCAGTCAAGGGCTGACCTCTCAGTGAGCAGCTGAGACTCTCAAGCAGCTCTTCAGCCACACGAGGCATGGTCACACATTACAGGCAGTCCCCGGGTTACATGGATCCGACTTACATCGGATCCCTACTTACAAACGGGGTGAGGCAACCCCGCACTAGCTGCTTCCCCCCAGCAGATCAGGGAGACGCGAAGCTAGTGCCCCCCCCCAGCAGACCAGGGAGACGCGGAGCGGCTTTTCTCAGCAGACACCTCAGCTTGAGAATAAAGGACTGAGGGAAGTGAGGTGTGGGAGAATAAAACTGAGCTCTGGAGAAATGTTTGGCTAGAGTTTCCCCTACAATATGTACCAGTTCCGACTTACATACAAATTCAACTTAAGAACAAACCTACAGTCCCTATCTTGTACGTAACCCGGGGACTGCCTGTATTCTGGGATTTGTATACTAAAGCACACATTTAAACATTTAACATTAAATCTTTTTAGATTTTATTTGTACATAAAAGAAGCAAAAAAGGGGCATAACCACCAATTTAAAAAAAGTTTACCAGGTATATTTAAATCTTAGTTAAGTTGACTGTGCTTTTGGAGCTTGGATGCTATGCACAGACCTGCCATGATAAACTAAAACTTGGAGGAAATACTGTGATTTTTAATTCCTTGTAAAGCTGAATTGTAAGGAGTTTGATAGTTAAGCTTGTGCTTCATTCACTGCACTGTATTTTACTATTACAATAGTATTCTAAATCCCCAAAGTAGATTTGTTTTATGTTTTTTCCCCAAAGCTTTTCCCCCTGTATTATCTATCTATCATTATAGCTGGGGGGGGGAATCCTTGATCGAGTCCAAGGCCAGAAGGGAGTAATTGTGTGAGGTGATGAGCCATTCCTAAACTAGATCATCATTAAGTTATATGCAGTGATGAATAGTAATAGAAATGTAGCTGTGTTAGTCTGGTCTTGCTGAAACAAAAGACAACACTATGCAGCACTACGGGATGGATTATTAGGTGATGAGCTTTCGTGGGCCAGACCTAAGTGTGTCTTGTTAGTCTTTAAAGAGCTGCATAGTCCTGTCTTTTGTTTCATGCAGTGATGAGTCATTCTTGTGTTCAGCTCAGCCAGTCCAGAAATCAGGAGCTGGTCTTATTGGTTCTCAGGACATATACCAGCCTCACAGCAGCTTGGTTAGCCCTACATGAGTTTATGGCTTGGAACACCAGTACCTAATTGATAGTGATGACAGACTCTTCAGGCTGCTTTCAGCACTGTCCTTGTCCTACCTTAGCCCTACTCTTGACTTGTTCCAACCCCTTTCTTGACTCCTGGCTCAGGTTCCTGGTCCAGGTGTCATTGCACAAACCACTAGGTTTTATTTGGACTGTACTAACTAGGCTGTGCCCTCATTATCTTGCTTTCTGACCTCTTGTATAAAATAGGCCATAGAATTTCTTCAAAATAAAATAATTCTTGTATAAATATCAGAGGGGTAACCGTCTTAGTCTGAATCTGCATAAACAATGAGAAGACCTGTGGCACCTTATACACTAACAGATTTTATTGGAGCATAAGCTTTTGTGGCATCTGACAAAGTGGGACTTTGCCCACAAAAGCTTATGCTCCAATAATTCTGTTAGTCTATAAGGTGCCACAGGACTTCTCGTTGTTCTTCTATAAATAATACTACAATTTGGACCTCCCTGGTCTTGCACCCTTGGACGCCTAACTGGTCCCAGATGAGGGGTTTTTCCATATCAAGGGAAGTCATTTCAGGACCCCTGCTGCTGGCCCCCCACCCAGGCTTCCTGGATTCTGACCTCCCTCCCCCGCAGCCCAGATATGCCATGAACTGGCTCCCACTGCCCCCCCTCGCAGTCCAGCTGAGCCATGTGTCAGCTCCTGGGCCCTCACCCATCTGCAGCACACTGGGACTCTCTGATCCTGGAACATTTTTTGTCATACTGGACCACAGATGATCCTGTATTTTAGAGGCGCAACCTGTAGCGCTATCTTATCTAATTATTTCTGTTGTCTTTTCTCTAAGATTTCCCTTGGATCCCAAGAGAAGAAATGAGTGGATACGCCTTGTAAAACGCAATAATTTTGTGCCTGGTAAACATACTTTTCTTTGCTCAAAGCATTTTGAATCCTCCTGTTTTGACCTAACTGGACAAACTCGACGACTTAGAATGGATGCTGTTCCTACAATTTTTGATTTCCCTGCACATCTAAAACTCAGGGTAAGTTTTTGGACGTACGTCATTCCCTTATTTTCTTTTTAATTAAAAGAAATAAAGACATGCACAAGTGACAGGCTCATACAAAATTCTACATAATTTTTAAGAAAATAAATAAACAGTTTCTTTCATTTTACAGTTATAATGTTATTGTATGTCATCCATACCCATCCACCCTTTCCTTTAAAGAACACTATCACCTTATGTCATTTATCTAAAATTTTACCACTTGTTAAAACTAATACCTTTCAGCAGTAGCACTCTGGTTAAGAGGGAAAAAAATTACCTTAATAAAGGAAAACAAATTCCTGAGGTATTTGATAACACTTCAGTGTATAGTCAATTTCAGTTTTCTCTGTCCAGATTTTGTACAGATTTTTTTTTGTCCTGATTTTTGTTTGTTTGTTTTGTTCCTTTGCACAGCAATAGGAGAAAGAAAAGATACGTTTGAATGGAAAAAACGTAATTACAAAATCACCAGTCTTGGTAGGGAAACAGGAATATGAATGGTAGTTGATATTACTTTTTAATAACTTTTTAAACGGTGATCATGTCCATTTATGTACGCACACAACTATAAATGCATTGTTTCTGCAAACTCATCCCACGAATGCCTCTAACATTTCTCAGTCTTTAGAGCTAAATGAACTTTATAAAGAAGTTCAGCAACATTACCCCCCATTTTACAGATGAGATAAATGTCTTTGATTTCATCAAAAGTGGGCAGGGGTGATTTGTGGGAGAGGCATGAATGGTCACATGTTCTTCTATAAAACACCAACGAAGAGCAAGGGGCCAGAGGCAAAGCTAGAAGGGAAGAAGTGGGGCCAGAGCCTTTCTTTTTTCAGTTCCAGCCATGCTGCCTGCCAGGGACACTACCCAGTGCGGTTCAATAAAATGCAGTGACTGCACTATGCCAAGCAGCTGCTATGTAGCACTGGGCAGGGTCCCAAGCAGGCAGCATGGCAGGAGAGTTTCTGGGAGAGGACAGAGCTCTCCAACTACCCTGCCCCAGATTACATGCCATGGGGAGGGGACAGGCTGGGGGTGGGAACAGTCACATAGTGGAGTATATTCTAGGGATGTAAGCGACTAGTCGAGTAGCTGATGAACAAAAGCTTATCAGATAATCAGCGCACTAGTCGACTAGTTGCTTCTCCCACACTTGCTGCCTCTATCACAAAGAGGCAGCAAGGTGGGGAGTGAGGAGGGCGTGCTGGAGGGAGCCAGCTTAAAAGCCATTTGCCTCCAGCTCCATAGGATGGGGCAGGGGTGCAGTGGCGGCCGACTTTGAAATGTACGTTTCAAAGCTGGCACACTGTGTGAAGCCCAGGGCCAGTGGGGAATCCCCCGCTGACCCAAAGCTCCATGTGGTTGCTTCCCCTTTGAAGGTAATATGGCTTATTTTTTAATTTTGTTTATTTATAAATCCTAGTCATAGCTGCTTGGTATCAGTTAGGGATGTTATACATTTTAAAAATTATTAACTGTGTAACCGATAAAATTTCCATCGGTTACACATGCGGCTCTCAGCAGCCCTATGAAAAGTGTAACTGGTGCCAGTAATCAATAAATATCAACTACTTGGTTAACCGGTTGCCTGGTTACACTCTTACATCCCTAGTATCAGTGCAGATGAAACTTAAAATCTAGCCAAATGAGGCATAGTTTGTTTTTCAGATATCAAAATTTTATTGAATGACTTATTTATAGATTACTGGTTACTCTTGCTTACTCTTTTTTCACAGCCTAGATTTATATAAAGGTGTAATTGTAATGATTTGTTTATTAACACACAAAAAATGCAATTTTCTCATGATTTAGTGCAGCTTTTATATTGTTTTCTGAATTTTTCCATTCTTCCCATTTCCAGAGGAACTATTCTTCCTGTTTCATCTTGCATGTTTTGGAGACTTTGTAAATAATCAGGATCTATCTTTCTCTAACACTGTGCTTCACTAAATTTGAGAGGGTAAGGTGAGGAATACCTTCTAACACTGATGTCGTTTTTATCTGAAATGACAAGAAAGTAGGGATACCGTAATAATACATATTACACACAATTTACAGATTCCTTACATTTGAATTAGTAGAAATGTAGTAATTACATGTTATATTAATCTAAAGTTTGGCATTTTATAAACTTGAATAATATGATAAATTTAATTTTTATTTTCTTTCTTATTTTATTTATAGAAACCTATGTCAAAAAATCTTTTGAAGAAGAAAGATGTTTACTCCCCAGAAGGGGCATCGAACTTCAAAACAAATATTAGCTGTAGACAAGTACTACTTGAACATAGTTATGCTTTCAGAAGCCCCATAGAAGCCAAGAAAAGGATATGTCAGTTAGAGAAGGAGATAGCAAGCTTGAGGAGAAGAATGAAGAACTGCATTAAAAAAGAACGTAGAGCCACACAAAGATGGATAGAAATGATTTGCCTGATGAAAAGCTTAGAAACAAATAATATTTTGCCAGGGATTACACTGAACCACATTTTACCAAATGCCTTAAGAAACCTTCCCTTTGAAGATTTCAAAAATATTTTACGGGAACGGCAAGACCATCTATAACAGATCTGCCAATTTTAAAACTAGACTTCAGAAATTAAATTTATACTGAATATAATGCCCAAAAAATCCGTCCTAATTAATATGTTTTTCTAAAACATTCTTGTGGTGCAGAGTGACAACGCTGGTTCTTATGGCTGCTTAATTACTCCATTGCAAATACTTATATGTTACTAATGAAAACTTCACCCCAAATCTTTAAGTTTTCAATCAGTTAATAAGAGTGCCTTATGCAAAAACTAGTTCTGTGAATTAACAGGTTTTTCATTTTTAAATAATTGAAAATTATATGGTTTGGTTGGTCTATTTTTGTAGAACATCTGAGTAACTGAAATGGACCATTTTTTGATGGAACATATACTCTATCCCGGTAAGTTTAAGAATAATACCGTTACTTTGTATTACTAACAATCAAACATAGAATTTTCTATGAATGAATACTGGCCCACAATCCCTCATTGTCCCAAGATTCACAGTTAAGTACCTCCAGTACCATCATTTGAGACCCCACAGAAGCCTGTGTGGGTGTCCAGGGTCCATAGGAAGTCATGTGTAGAGGCTGACATGCTGGGAAAAAGTGGCTTGGTAAGGCCAGAGAGGAGCAATTTTGTCTTGTCCCATTGCAGCTGCCCAGACATAAGGCAGTGCTGGAGACCACAGGTATTGTGGTGTTACAGAACCTTTTCATATTTAACATAGGTATCCTGTGGACCACCATTTTGGCAACAGGACAGTATAGAGAGCAATTTCCATGAGGGGTTGTTACAGAGCCCAGAAATTTTCTGTGAGGGGATGATGTGGGTCCTTGTTTGGAATTTTTTTAGCTTTAAAATATGTATATTTGTAGATGATCCAAATTCAGAACTTTTCAAAATCACTAGGCATTTAAGTTCTTCTCTCAGTTTGGACACACTGTTACTTCGATGGACAGTTAGAACCTGTTATCTGAGTGGAATGTCATAGTATAGTTTACTACTCGCTACTGTAAACAGCATACCTATGAACTGTTGTTATGGATTGACAGTTGGATAGAAGACATCACAAAGGTTGGACAAGCAAAAGTTCTGGGAAAAGGAGGCATTAATAAAACAAAATATGAAAATATATCAAAAGGATGAGTTGTATGGAGAAACAGTTAGGCTAATCACACAAAATGTAAGAGGTTACCGGTTAACTGACTCCAAATGCCAAAGTGGTGTTGAAATTATTCAAGTTGCATTTTGACAAAGTGCTGAAGCAAGCATTTTAGACATGCTAAATGAATAGGGTCTCTTGAGAATGGATGTCAGCTCTGTGTCGTGAGCAGAAGAATCAGAAAGAGCAGTGAAAAAGTTGAAAAGAAAGCTTCAGCATAGACAATATAAAAGCTGGGTCACTAAAATAGGACAAGTGCTATCAAAGTATTAGGAAAATATACAACAAGGTATGGGAGCAGGAGGAGATACTGGGTAAACACAATAGTATGTACCAATCCTGAAGAACAATGATTCTGCCGATCTGAATAATTGTAGAGGCTATTGTCAGTATCAGGGGAAATGAAAGTAATTATCCACAGATTAAAACTGGTTTTAGAAGTAGTAGGCAAGGAAGTGAGACTTCAAGCCAAGCTGAAGTTGCATTGATCAGATATTTATCCTCCAATAGTTGCTTTGGGCATGGGAAGGTGGAGAGATGAAAAGGGGATTTAAAGATACTTGCTATTTTCATCAATTTCACAAAGGCATTTCTGTTGCTTTGGAGGAAATCTTTATGTAAAGTACAGGTTGCACTTCCCTAAATTGGGACTCTCTGCTCCTGCAACATCTATGGTTTGTCAGGACCACGGATGTTCCCGAACCCAAAAAGCCCCAGTGATTGGGAGTTGGGCAGCAGGAGGGTTAGCAACTGTGAGCCTGACAGGCCTAGCAGCAGCCCAACTTGGGTGCTAGGGCCATGACAGCCTGGCCGAGCCTGACTCAGTGGTAAGGTGACCAGCCAGGGCTGGAAACAGAGCCAGCTTAGGGCTGGGGGACTTCCACTGATCCAGCAAATTTCCTCATTCAGGGCCAGTTAGGTACCAAAAGTGCCAGACCAGGGAGGCCCAACCTGTATTAAAATCATACTGCGTTTTATAATTGCAGTTATCTTATCTGATAGTTTTATGTGCAAGGATTTGTGTAGTGTGGCATGAGAATTGGTGGAAAGCTGAGCAAGTTGAAGTTTGGTGTAAAACAAAGGGGTATGGAAACCCTGGCACTTATCATCATGTTCTTAAATTAGACGTTAAAAATGTTAGACAAATTGGAAGACATGACATTGTGTTATTTAGGGTTATGCGCTCTGTCTTTTGCAGGTGGTGTGCAGCTGGCAGTCACATTTGAATTAACAGTAATACTCTTCACTACTTCAGAAAATAAAATAGTCATTTTGGATTTACAATAAATTCCAAGAACACGAATGGATACATCTTGGCAAAGAGGCAATAGACAGTATTGAAACATAATGGCAGTAATGTCATAGAACAAGTAAAATCTTATGTATACCTAGCAAGCTTGAACTGTGCCAGTGGTTCCATCAAGGATGAAGTTAAAAAGAGATGGGCTTTAGCTACAAATGCTGCATGGAAATTGAAGAAATTATGGCCTGATAGAAATGTTGTTTGGTACTAACATGAAATGAGTTGATTATCAGTATTGATAGATCAATATGAGGAGACAGCTGTCCGTGGCATTGAGGTGAACATCATTCTGCTTTGAGAACTTAAATACATCAGTTATATTGTCTTGTTAGATCATTTTGGTGAAACACTGCAATTGATGGCTGATCTTGTTGGGCAAGAGGTAGCACTTATCAATCTGGTTAAAACTAAATCCCTGACCATATCCTCCAGCTCCATACTATAATTAGTTCAGTAGTAAACATCCCAGGTGGGACATCAAGCAGGTGGCAATTGTCAAATATTTGGATAGTATCCTAGACTGTGCTGGGGGTGGCTCTAAAGAGGCCGATTCCTGTATAACTGCACCTACTGCCATATTTTGGGCCCTTCAGCAGCCTCTGTGGGGAGGTTGTGACATGCTTGTCACAAAGCTATGGATCTATCAAGCTATAGTTTGAGCAACTTTCTTGTACAGAAATGAAATGTGGGTGTGGAGAAAGTCTTAAGAATAGGCGATTGACATGTTCAGTTTTCAGTCTTCCTCAGCTGCTCTATAAAATGGCAGGACAAGACCCAAAATGAAGATATTCAGGGCCAAACCCCAGTCATCTCCATCAGCGCTAGTCTGGTTTTAGTGACTTGCTTGATATAGAGGTATTAGAAATTAAGAGTAACTTGGCTATCCCCTCAGACTTTGAAATTTGTTAGTGTGTACAGAATAAACTTAAACAACAAATAGCCTGGTAGTACTTAAAGACTAACAAAACATGGATGGTATCATGAGCTTTCGTGGGCACAGCCCACTTGTTCAGGAATGCTACTATGTAGCCGGTGAGCACATAGATATTAAAATCTTTTGGTGGTGTAACAAGACTGCCAGTGAATACAATCAGACTGCCCAAAGCATCTTGCCCAGAGGTCGATCCAGTGGTGCTTGGGTTGCAAGGTGCTTGAGTTGCCATTTCCTTTGAGCTTTGTCATGAAAACTAGACACATAGGGCATGTCTAGACTACATGGCTCTGTCGACGGAGCCATGTAGATTTGTTTACTCGGCAAATGGAAATGAAGCGGTGATTTAAATAATCATTTAAATTAAAATGATTTAAATTAATTTTAATCATTTAATTTAAATAATCATTTAAATTAAAATGGCTGCCACGCTGTGCCGATCAGCTCTTTGGCGGCACAGCGCTTTAGTCTGGACGCTCTGCGGTCGACATCAAAGGCATTTGTCGACCTCCCTAGTAAACCTCATCCCATGAGGCATAACGGGAAGGTCGACAAATGCCTTTGATGTCTACTGCGGAGAGTCCAGACTACAGAGCTGTGCCACCACAGCTGATCGGCACAGCGCGGCAGCCATTTTAATTTTAATTAAGCGGCGATTATTTAAATCGCTGCTTCATTTCCTTTCCCCTACAACCCTAATCTACATGGCTCCGTTGACGGAGCCATGTAATCTAGACGTGCCCGTAGTTTGCTATATTGTGATAATTCACCATTTTCTCCTAAAGTGATTTTTTTATCGTTCATTAGTTATCTTTAGATGAGTACATGCACATAAGTAATTAAGCTTCAAATGAAATATTTTTCTTGTAAAATATACTTAATAATGAAATCTTGTACTTTTTTTCTTTTGTGTTTAGGTATTGCCTATCTGAGAGATGTTTCATACAAGTATATACTACAGGTATTTTCAGTACCTCTGTTAAGGTAAGTGCTTTTTAAGTAAAGGTTTTAACAAGTAATATTTCAGAAATGGCTAACTAGTATACTACATACTATGTACAATATACCAGTATTCAGCTTTTTTCACATTTTAAGCTTGTTCAATATAGAAATATATATATATATGTTCCCTTTAATGAGGAATGAACATGTTAGTGGGGGGTGGGGGTATGTGTTTTATTCCCTCCTTTACTTTTTCAGTAATTAGAAGATGGCAATTGCCATAAGAAGAAAAGGGAACTTAGCTATTCTCTTCAAAATACCCTATGCTAATTGTGATTACACTTTTTTCTTTTTCTGGCACATAACTGCTTGTACTGCTCAGAAGCAAAGTTTTATTTTTAATCTAATTGGTGAGTACTTCTCATTCTTTTCTTTGAACACCAAGTCAGAAAACCGTTGATTTTCAAAAGAAAATACTCAGACTATTAATCTACCTCAAAAAACTAGTGGTACAAATCTTATTTAAATCAGAACTTCAAATGCTGATTATGTAAATCATGGCAAATTTAGTATTTTACAGATCTTAATAGGGATTCTTTTTATCAGTGGTGTAAACAATATAACAATATCCCAGTGTTGGTAATGTTTGGATGTCAGGTTCTGATAAAGATATGACTTGTTTGTCAAGTTGGATAAATTAATAGTAACAGATCTTCCACATATCAGAAAAGGAAAAAAATGTAAAGAAAATGAAAATATATATAACAGATTCTCATTAGGTACATTTTAACTTGTGGCAATACCAAGGGCCCCAGTTGTGAGCCAGGTTTCTGTTGTGCTAGGTATTTGTATAAACACACACACACACACAAACTGTTCGCACTTCAATGAATGTAAATGTATCTGTAAGACAAGAGGTCACAGGTCAATTTAGATAAAGGAGTTCAAAAAAACAACTTAATACTGGTCAGCACGATAGTCTGTGGTCTTGACAGGCCAGCTGTTTAACTGTTGTTTTTTTTTATTATTCCCTGGAGGTCAATTTGTTTGCATAAGCTTTTGAAGAAGGTGGGACTTGATGACTAATGTTTATAGGGGAAATTTTGGTGGGAAAAGTACCTTATAATTTGGCGTCTTTGAGGTTGGAGTTTCTGGAGATTTGTGGCTGGTTTTAGTTCTCTCTTTAAAGTCCAAAATCCCCAAGTTAACAGATTGCTGTATTTTTGTTGTCGTTGTTGTTCTAAATCCAAACATAGATTTTAAAAACAACTAAGGGGCAGTGCCTCCAGCTCACTACACTTGCCAACCCCCCCTTTCCGGGGGTAGGCAGCCCTGGCTTTCATCTAGCCACCAGGAAGGGCCAGGCCAACACATGGCAGCCCTGGCCTGTTGCAGCTCTCTCCCCCGCAGCCATCAGGGGAGTTGGGCCAAGGCTGGCCCTGTGCTCTCTGCCAGGGGTTGGGCTGAGCTGAAGCTGGCCTGGCTCTCTCCCCCTGGCTGCCAGGGGGTTGGGCCAAGGCTCTCCCCCCACCCTAGGACGGTCCGAGGCCACCCTGGCTCTTGCCCCCTCCACCAGCCCCGACACTTCCCCCCTGCCTGTGGTTTGTTGTTAGATATTGCTTTATCCATAGGAGCATAATTTGGAGGATTCAGGATAGGGCTGTGCAAAATGTTCACACAAATTCAAAACTTACGCAACTGGATATCAGTTTTATTACAAAAATACTGTAGATTTGTCAAGTGTTTCAATGAAGTTTGTGAGTGACTGTGTCCATATGTTTTAGTGAAAGTTGTAGATGACAATGAGATAACTGAAAAGTTACGTTTTGAGATATGAATCTATGTATAATGCAAAGGTTTGCACAAACCCGCACAAAGGGAAGCCACTGAGATAATTCACCAGACCTTGTTACAGTTGTGACCGAGAGTCGCTTGATTTTATTGCACTAGGGATGTTAAAATGCGTGTAATTAAGTAATCATGTAACCACTGAAACAGGTAGCCGTGCAGGGCAGCAGGCAGTGTGTGCCAGAACCATGCATACCAGGAACCTGCATGTAACTGTGAACATTAACTGATGCGCCTAAGCTCATTAGTTAACCATTTATGGTTACACTTTCACATCCCTATTTAGTACTGTATTACTATGAGTGTTAATTTTGTTGTAGTAATTGCAGAATGTATCCTTTGGACACAATACAATACATTTTTGTTCATGTTTCTTGTTTAATTTAGCCCTCTGCCTTTATTGTAGATCTCTACCTTCACCTTTTCCAGTCATGTCTACCAAAGAAGGTTTTGGTCTCACATCAGTTTATTGATGGGCTCTGGAACATGTTATGTCGTAAGAAAAGCAATACTCAT